GCTGGCCCGGTGGCCACGCGCAGGTCCAGAGGCCACACACCAGCCCCGGAGAGGCAGCGGAACGTGGAGCAGAGCTCCGGCCACGCAGGCCCCAGGGACCGCACAGGTGCTGCCTCCGCACCGCGCCTATTTTCTTAAGAGCTTGCTTTCAATAAGAACTGACTAAGCTGTGTTTCTAAGAATAGATATGAAAGAATGAATGAGACTTTGAGTCTAGAAAATGGCAAAATTTTAAAAATAATTGTTTTCTGCTTTCATTTCCCCCACATTGTCTAAATGGACATACTTAAAAATTAATTACAGCTAAGTACCAACTTAGCCCATTAATAGGTAGTTGCTTGCAGGAATATATATTTTTAAACTTTTTTTCTTACCTCCTACCCATTTATTCTTTTGCTTTATTCTAATTTTTACCTTCTGCTATTATTTCCTTTTTCCCCCTAAAAGATATATGTCTTCTTCTAAATTCCTTTTAACTAGCGAAGTTACCATCACCTTTCATGTCTCCATATTTTGATTCCATGTATTTCCTTTGCTTAGAATTATTCTCACCATCTTTTTCTTGGATAACTCTTACATACTCTTTAGGCTTAAGTCAGATACCATCAAATGCACTAACTTGTGTCCAATATACATAAAAATATTTGTAATAAATAAAATCATAAAGAAAGCAAATCTTCCTTGAATGATCACTTCTGTGTCTTCATCCCTATAATTCAAGGATAAGAATTGCCTACTGTATGATTGTCTGGGTTCTAGAGTAAGACTCTGACTCTCTTAGTTCAAATCTTGGTTTTACTCCCTAAAAAGCTGTGAAATTTGGTTAACTTATTTTCTCCTAATGGTTCAATATTAATATTGTAGTAACATTATTAATCTCTGTGGTGGTGATCATAGTGATACTCTTTGATAGGGCTATAGCAAGTATTTGGTGAGCTAATACATAAAATAACTAAAATAGACCCTAAGCACTCTGTAAATAGCACCTATTATTAAAATTATCAATAAGAGTTACTTTTTTATATTGAGCTCACTGATTCTTTAACTCTGAAATTCAATTGTCCTCTCAAATCTCTCCTAAAATTCTAAGCTTTTTATGTTATCAGAAAAGACTTCCCAAACATCACAAATGTGAAAATTATGTTCTTTATTATAGTCACATAAAATAAAGTCAATTATACCAAGTTGTCCAACTGTAGTGGTGAATTAAAGCCTCCAGCCCTTACATTTTTATACATATATCTATGCATTTATAAATACATACGTAAAAGATATATACTTTCATCTAAAATAAAGTGCCCAAATTTTAATATATAGGGGCATGATAAGGAGAAAAGAACCATAAACTTTCATTATAATAGATTGTATTTGCACAATATAAGAATCTGTGCTATAAACATTTATTCCAGTATGATAAATTTTAATCACACATTCTTTTTGGAATTTTCCCAAATGAATTGGATATAATGAGTATTTGATGAGATAATACATAAATATTTGCATAAGTTTTTCCGAGATATTAAAAGAAATCATGTGGTCAGCTTCATGAATAAGGCTCATTTTTCTGACTATGCCTGACACAATCAGAGCCTTGGTTTCCCAATGAGGGAGTAGTTAAGTTCCATTCTTTCCTTTTTATTTGGTGGTGGGGGGAGGTGTTTTGTTATAGGGCATGTGTGCTCACCGGAAAGACAGAGACAGAAAGAAAGCGAGAAATCACCCCCCAGGGTAACTGGCCACGCTACAAGCCCTTCTCCTCCATTTTCCTCTTAGGATTGGGCACACATGCACATGCACCCAGTATGAGTTTAAGCAACCAGGATTCAAACTGCGGTCAACTACATGGGAGTCCAGCAATGTAGCCATTACTCCATCTGCTGGTCCCATTAACTTCCATTCTTAATTTTCCTGTTCTTTCACATTGTTGTCTTTCTGCTAAGGTGATAAGCAGAGTGAGAAACAAATGAAATGTCTCTAATTCTATAACTTCCATTTCAATAAAGTCAGTGATTGGTGTATAGATTCTTAGTTTTTTCTTTTCTTTCTTTTTTTTTTTCTCATCACCCCAGGCTTGGTGAGAAAAGACCTAGTAGGATATTAATTTGGTGTCTCACTGCCTCCATTATACTTAAAATTTTGTTTGAGCCAAGGAAGAAGAATAAGGCTATAGTAATCAATAGATCATTGAGAGAATTAAAACAAATTAAAGTGAACTCTTGAGTATGTTGAAAAGTTTCAATGAGAATATGTTTAAACTTAAGAACAAAATAAAAGTTACAGAAAAACTAGATGATTTAAGATAATTCAGGAAATCCTTCTGTCAAATAAGAACTAGAGTTTCCTCCTTGTTTCAACAGTCCAGCTATCTTTCCTGCATTTTTAGTGTATTTTCAGCTATCTTAGACTTTAAAGATAATCATTTATAGTTGTCGGCAAGAAATGGAATTTGAAAATGCCTTTAAAAAGACTTTGACCTATTTAAGCAAGGTGAAGATGCCTAAAAATAGCTCAACATGAACCCAGCCATTTCAGAATCTCAGGTAGTTACATATTCAAACTACATTAGAGGGCATTCTATTCAAGCAGGAAAGAGAAATTGCAGCACTGAAATTGCATAAAAGACTCTCAAACTTCCTATGTTTTCAGAGGTTGAGAGCAAGACATTTCCCAGAGTGAAAACAAGGACTGGAACACTTTGTTACATTTTTGGAAGGAGAAAAAATTGTCAAGAGAGTTTTTGCAATGACCCGACCCACCTCAACAGGACCTCTGCAAGAACAGAGCTGCCTAACTACTGATCTTGGTGAGCATCTTGTTGATGGCTTGCTTGACATGCGTGGTTGAGCTGCGTCGCCTTGTCTTGCCCTGCACCATCTTCCGGCGTCGCACCTCCCGACACAACTCATAGAATATCTCTGTGATGTTCCCTTCTCCAGTACAGGCAGAACACTCATAAAAGGCACATGCTAATTCTGTGGCTAGCTTCTCCCCTTCTTCTGTACTAACCTGTCTGGAGTGATCTAAGTCAGCTTTGTTTCCAACCAAAATGAGAGTCACATTCTTGGGCTTTTTGATCTCATCTAGAACATTCTTAAGTGGCAGTACTTCCTCAAAACTTCCTCTGTCAGTAATATCATAGACCAGCACAAATCCTTCTCCCCATCGCATGTGTCCTTCCCTCTGAATGGTGTCTTCCTGTTGGCAAAGAAAAACAGCAGTCAGGGACCTGGATGTAATCACAATATACACACACTGGGAAGGCTGATGCTAATCCCTTAATTACTGTTCTTTATATCTAATGTCATTAAAATGTCTTGAGAGTCTGCCTGTACATGCTTACTTCCTCCATCAGGATGGAATAGAAGCATTACCTACTCTTATCAAGCTATTTCAGAGAACTGAAAGTTTTCCAGCATCATAGACTTTAACTTTCTGGTTTTGATTATTATTTTTTTCTTTGCTACATAAACTAAAAGAACTATAAAGAAATCATAATTTTAGTGAAACGTGTCACCTCTGAGACATTTCATGATAATCAAGAAATTAATAAGTTGGTAACAGACAAGTGGCTCTTAATCTACCCTTTAGATATCAGAACTAAGGCCAAAATTTGGATACCCCCACCCCCTTTTTTGTTGTATGTCTGAGTGTGTTTGGGTTTGTTTGTTCATTTTAATGGCCTTTTTTAATTTTTTTTTTTAAAGATTACAGACTAGTAGTCACTGGGACAGAAAAACAGTAACAAACTACGTAGCTTTAAGCTACCAGGTTCAGCCTTTTTTGTCCTATCCCCAAACACCAAAATGTTATGTACTACAAATAATGACAGAAAGTCATTTCAAGTGATTTCTCAACAGAGTGATCCCTCCCATACCAGAAAGAAGGTAGCATGTATGGTTTGAAATAACCTTGTCTTTGCGGGTTCAAATGACTCTGGAGACTGCCTGATTTTTTAGAATCAGTGCTCCGTGAAGATCAGAGTATAAGGAGGTAGTGACAAGAAGGAAAAGTGTTAGTTTCCAGATCATTTCTTGGATTAAACATTTAACTCAAGTCATGTTAGGGCCATAGGTTATTGCTATATGACCACCAGAAACACATTTGAACATGTAACAACCAGAAACCTTTAGCTTCTTGTCATTCCAATGGTCATCTCTGTATTTGAGAACTAAACTTGTCTATGAGTCCTTTTGTAATCTCAGAACTGGCTGACCTTAAAGCAAATTTACAAAGCAAACAGTATAGGAATGATTCCTAAAATAGAATATTCTGAAACAAAAAGTCATATATTTTGATCACATCTACTAAATCTCTCTTAAAGATTCACCGTATACATAAGCATAGTAAGGCTTTGAGAATTCTTTCAAATAGGTGCCTGTTTATCTTTGGACATTTCAAAATACATTGATCATGGAAACCTATTAATGTCTAATGTATTAACCTCATGTCATGAAATATGAGACTTCAAAAAGACTATGGAAAAATGGAATTAAAGTATGAGTTTATTTTGATGCAAAATAATTTTTAAATCCATGCATAGCTTTTTTCATAATATGTATTTATTTTCCATAACCATTTTGAAGACCCCTACTATAGTCACAAGATTCTAATCTAGATTATCTGTGAATATTGATAGTATTTTCAAAACCCTATTAACATTCTGGGCAGTTTATGTAACTGCATAAACAGGCTATTACAAATATGGTAATACATAAAATGACTAGATAATTGTAGAAGAAAGTTATTAGTCATACAAAAGTTAGTTAAAGGAAAGTGCCTTAATTTGGTTCATATTATGTAAGTCTCATTTTTATTTGACCCAAAAGATATTTTAGTTGAACTCCTTATTCACCTGACCAGCAGTATCTAGTATCTCCATGGAAACAACTTCATCATCAATAGTTGCTTGGTGTCGATAGGTTGATTCTGTGGAAATGAGCAAATAAAGAAGAAAAAAGGTAAATAAATGCAAGATTTTTAAAAATTAAAAAAAAATTTGTTATCATAATCTTGTTTATAGTACATTGAGTCACATATAACTTTACAGTGTATTACATTTCTTTTTCCAGAAGGAATACCATTCATATCAATCAATACAAAGACATTAAAATTCCCATCATCATCATCCAATAGCTTTTCATTTTTTTTCCAGATTATTATTATTCCAATTTTTTAAAAACATTCCATCACTATGTATCATTTTGCTTGTAAAAAGACTTTACCCAACATGAAATACTTCTCAGACCTATCCAATTGTAAATGCAAGATTTAATTTGATCCTTAAAATTAGAAATTAGGCACAGGAGACATGTTTCTCTTTTTATAGAATAAGAAATTGTACACCTGAGGGAAAAAAAAGAATAAATGTGCAAGAATGCGGATTCTTTGTACTAATAGAGCTCTTAGAATAAGTTCCAACAAGGGAGCCATAGACCTTCAGGGCTGACCAAGGGGTGACCTTTTTTGCCTCTTTGCACCTCTATCCTTTCTATTTAGGACTCCACCTTATTCTTCTGTGAGGCCAGCCCCCTGGTATTCTTTTCCTTCCAAAGTGAGGGCTCTGTAATCTAAACTGAGCAGGTGGTTTCCACAAATTGCATTCTGTCTTGGTGCTCCTAAAAATTCTAGCTTCTGGAAATCACTATTAATTCTTGTTCCTAACAAGATAATACACGAATGGGAGCTACTAGTTTTCTTCCAAACCTCAATCCTAAAAATGTGGCAGACATTAGAGGAAGATGGATGGATCCTACCAAACGATGTAAAACTATGAGAAACCCTTGGGGTAGTAAAAGTTGGCTGGATCCCAGGGTTTTGTGGTGGGAAAGGAAAAGTAACCCAGAGAAGAGGAAGCCTGGGCAGCATGGAGAGGAGATGGAACAAGGTAGCCTTCTCTCACGTTACCTTTCAAAGCAGAAAAAATGGCCGCTGTTCTATACAAGCTGGAAGTTGGTGAGTCAAAAGCAGAGTGGGTTTCAAGGCAAGCTGGGATGAGGAGGAATTAGCAGGTGCAAGAAGACGGGGAGGCCCCTTCATCAGATAAAATGGAAATCAGGGGTCAGAAAAAGTGCCAACTAGTGCTGCTTTATATGAAACCTGGAACAACTGATATAAAGAAGTCTATGAATGATTGACTGAGCTTCTAATGATCAGGTTAAAGAATTCTTCCAGCAAATATTACTAACTGATAAAAAGAAAAATGTAAAAGGAAAATTTAATAAAAGTATGAAAAATAGAACTAGAAATGTTACTATCCTTTATAAAATTAGCCTCAAAAGAAAATAAAATACGTGGAGGGATGAAAATATTTGAGGTTGCAATGACGGAGAATGCCTCAGGATAGAGGCACTGATGAAAGATTTAAGATCAAAAGGACTAACAGACACATAGGGGAAAAAAAATCCAATAACTAAACCCATCACAGCAAAATTTACAGGATATCAATGATAAAGAAAACTCTGAAGGATTTTAGAAAAAAAGCACATCACCTACAAAACAAAAAGACATGACTCAGATTGACATTGCACATTTTAACCAATGAAACTGAATTCAAAATATCAATGGAGAACAAACCAAATCCAAACCAAAACCAAACAATAAAACTACTACTGAAAAAATCTAGAATAGAAATTCTAGGTGATCCCAATACACCAGGGTGTAGATGGCGGAAAAGACCAGAGGCAGGCTTGAGTGAACATAAGTACTTGTCTTAGCCTGGAAGATGATACAAAACGGGAACGACTAGAAAAAGTGAGCTAAGTATTCGACTCAATAACTATAAGAGCAGAAACAGAATAAATCCAAGAAGATATAAGGAAAAAAATACAAAACATTATTTTAAAAATTAGCTCAAGTTAACAAAACCAAAGTATAGTGATTGAAAAGGGGGGAAAAAAAAACAGAGGGTAATGTAAAGATTGGGCAATACTGACTAGGAAATTAAGAGGAAAGTTGCATTTAATCAAAACTTAGCATCAAAAGAGAAAACTGCATATTCTGCAGAGATAAAAATAAAATAATATGAGCTGTATAGAAACGATTTCAAACCCTGATAAATTCTGGGAAAAAAAAATGTACAAATTGCATTGCAGATAGAAATAGAGCACTAACTAGATCAATAGCCACTGAATAGTTTTAAAAGTTAATTCTAGATCTCTCCCCACAATAATAACACTTGTACTAAGTTAAGAGATTTTTTTTTTTCAGATATTGAACAGATTGTTTTAGAAAACAGAAAAGGATAGTTAGCCACTTCCTTTTGTGGGGAATTTTATATTGAGTTCAGTAACAAGTAGTAGAAGAGTAACAAGAGAAAA